AAACATTGTTCTTAATTTCACTATGTACTCCTCCTTGGGAGTTACTTGTCCTAGTTTAATCTTTTGTTCTAACATCGGAAAACTGTGAGGAAATTAATGGGTATATAAGCTCTTGAGTTGAACCAAGTAATCGATTGAATTCAATCTTTTAATTTGGTTCAGTCCAATTGTCTTATAACCCAATCTAATTATCTCTATCCCATCCTAAATTTTATCATACGGGATTGGGATGACTCCTTGTCCTTGTGACGGGTTCTTATTCTTTGTTTCTATTTTTTTTCTTTTGTTTTGTTGGGATGGGTCCTTGTCCCTGTTGAGAACAATCATTCGCTACACCCGGTAATACCCTTAGAATTTGCGATTCCTCAGTACATTATTTCAAAAAAAAATGTAGTGTACTCCGGTGAATCAGTCTATTTGCGTTGTCCTCGATAGAGTTTGACACATTTATAATTTGTCTTTTATAATTCAATAAACAAAATTTGTGGAGGAAAACAAACTTAATTTTAGTATGTTTAAAGTTTAGACCAATTAAAAAAATGAAAAAAAAAGTTAGAACCCGTTCAGAAGGCAAATGAGTCATCTTAACCCCATAAGAGTTGAGAACGATCATCCGGTACACATGGTGGTACCTTAGAACTTGCAATTACTCAGTACACTGTTCTAAAAAAAGTAATGTACTTTGTTGAATCAGTCTATTCGCACTGACACTCAATAAAGTTCAACTCATTTACGGTGTGTCTTTTAGAATTCTATCAGAAAGATTTGGTAGAAAAAAGAACTAAATTGTAGACCAATTAAAAAATAGAAACAAAAAATTAGAACCCATTAGAAGGCCAAGGAGCCATCTCAACCCCATAAGAGTGAACGATCATTCTCTACCCAATCCAATGTTAGGACCAAAGTTGCTAATCATCCGCTACACCCGTGGTACTTTAAAACTTGGGATTACTCAGTACACTATTTCAAAAAAAAACATAATGTACTTCGTTGAGTCAGTCTATTGCACTCATATTTAACTGAGTCTAACTCATTTACAGAAAAAAGAATTACACTTGTCTACATTTAAATTTTAGACCAATTAAAAAAATAGAAATACAAAAGTGGAGAAAAACCATTCGCTACCCAATCCACATATTTGCAAGACCAAGCTGCTAATTTTGGCAAGGAAAAAGATTTACATTTTTGTACATTTAAAGCCCATTCGCTAACCATTTTTTTTTTATGTTTTAAAACTCATATTTTATTCTGCATCTATGTATAATTAATATTTTTTCGACTGGAAATGAATTTCTCATTTTTTTTTAATTTAATTTGTTTTAGAATACGTGTAAACTTCAAAAAATGAAATATATAGAACTTATAATTAAAAATAAAAAAATGTCTTTTTAATACTCCCTCTGTCCATCATAGATCTTCCCAATAGCCCTTTTTCTTTGTCCACAATAGATCTTCTCATTTCATTTTTTAACAAGTAAAATACCACAACTACCCCACTTACTTTATTTATTACACCTCACCCACCTCATTTAATATACTCCACCCATTTTTCATTAAGGGTATTATGGTAAACTTTCACCTTTTTTCAACTCTTTTTAAAACCACCAAAAATCAAAATGAGGACATTTTAGGCGGACGGAGGGAGTATCCGTCAAGATTTTTAGATAGGATTTTTACTGAAATTACAATTTTTATTTTTATTATCCGTCAATATTTGTATCTTAGTTCGATATCGAATAAAAATAAACGAATACGAATCTAGTAACGACTATTGATACATCTAATCCATTTAAAATCTATATATACCTTATTAATTCAAAAGGAGAGTAATTATTTTATTAAAAAGTATATAAGTGAAATGAGAATACTCCCTCCGTCCCTAAATATTCACAACATTTGTTTTTTCAGCAGTGTCGGAAACTTTTGTTTATTTCGACGTTTTCATTGACTATTTGATAAAATTAAATATTCTTGATACCTCTTATTTCGAAGAACTTTTCATATAGTTTTTTTATTTGTAAATTTTATTTTTTATTTCTTACCAATATGTAAATAAAATGAATTAAAAAAACTTGATATTTTGTCTCGAAATTACAAATGTGGCAAATAATTTGGAACGGAGGGAGTATAATTTTGAGGAAAGAGTTTAGAGGGATGTTGAGCAGATGATAGCAACAAGGAGGAGATTCACCTCCAGAGTTGGGAATCTCCTCCTCGTCGCCTCCATAGCCAAAGCTCTTTCAGCGCCGGGAGGCTCGCGAAACCTCGACGGCGCTAATGGATCCATCTCCCTCTCACAAGATCTCGTCCTCAGAGTCCTCCGCTGCAACTCCCTCCACGTCTCCAACAAGCTGGATTTCTTCCGATGGTGCTCCCTCCGCCCCGGGTTCAGGCACTCCGCCGCCACCTACTCCCAGATTTTCAGAGCTCTTTGCCGTTGCGGCCGCCACCACGAAGAGATTGCCGCCCTCCTCAATTCCATGAAGCGCGACGGCGCTCAGCTCGACTCCGCCACCTTCAAATTGCTTCTCCACTCGTTCATCAGATCCGGTAAGTACGACTCCGCGCTGGAAATTCTGGATTTAGTTGAAAGCAATTTCAGGGACGACATTGCTCGCAGTCGATTGAGCAATGTAGTTTATAACTCTGTTGTGATCGCGCTTGTCCGTAAGAATCAGCTAAGCACGGCTTTATCCATATTCCTGAAGCTATTAGACTCCAATTCTAGTGTTGATGATAGTAAGGATGGGGATTTCATAGAAGATCCCATTTCGTGTAACACACTACTGGTTGGTCTCAAGAAGGCTGACATGAGAGCTGAATTTGTGCATATCTTTGATAAGCTCAGAGAAAGGAAGAATCCTTACCCCTTAGACAGATGGGGCTATAATATATGCATTCATGCTTTTGGTCTGTGGGGGAATTTGGGGATTTCTCTGATACTGTTTAAGGAGATGAAGGAGAGGGGTGATGCATTTGATCCTGACATCTGCACTTATAACAGCCTAATTCAAGTCCTCTGCATGCTGGGGAAAGTGAAGGATGCTCTCATTGTCTGGGAAGAGCTGAAGAACTCCTCAGGTCTGGAGCCAGATTACTTCACTTACCGAATTCTCATCCATGGCTGCTCGAAGTCGTACATGGTGAACGATGCCATGAAAATATTCGGTGAGATGAAGTTTAATGGCTTGCGCGCGGATACGGTTGTGTATAACTCACTCATGAATGGATTGATGAAGGCTGGGAAGTTAACGGATGCATGTAATCTGTTTGAGAGAATGGTTGAAGAAGATGGTGTTCGTGCCAGCTGTTGGACCTATAACATTCTCATTGATGGCTTGTTTAAGAACGGAAGGGATGTGGCTGCTTACACACTCTTCTCTGATCTGAAGAAGAAGAGCAACAATTTCGTGGATGGGATTAGTTACAGCATTGTCGTTTTGAATCTCTGCCGGAAAGGCATGCTTGAGAAAGCAATGGAGTTGGTGAATGAGATGGAAGGCAGAGGTTTCACTGTTGATTTGGTCACTATCACTTCACTATTGATTGCAATTTACCGCGAGGGGCACTGGGACTGTATGGAGAGGCTTATGAAGCACATTAGGGATAGCAACTTAGTTCCCATTGTTTTAAGGTGGAAAGCCTCCATGGAGGCTATGCTAGAAGCTAGGCAGAGCAATGAAAAGGATTTCACCCCAATGTTTCCATATAAGGGCAATTTCACCGATGTTTTAGGCACTGGAGATTCAGTAGAGACAGAGGCTTACGCGGGTGATAACGAAACTGACCCTTGGTCATCTTCACCTTACATGGATTTTCTAGCCAGCCAAACAAGCCTGGACACTCTCCAACCCCATCTGTTCACACTTTCCAAAGGAAAACGCGTCGACGGTAAGAACCAAGATTCATTCGACATGGACATGGTGAATACCTTCCTGTCCATATTCCTCGCCAAGGGGAAACTGAGCTTAGCTTGTAAACTATTCGAGATTTTCACAAACGCGGGGAGTAAGGACCCCACTAGCTACACATACAACTCCATGATGAGTTCGTTTGTCAAGAAGGGATACCTCAATGAGGCGTGGGGGGTTTTCCATGAAATGGGAGACAAAGTTTGCCCAGCAGACATAGCAACGTACAACGTGATCATTCAAGGTTTAGGAAAGATGGGTAGGTCTGATCTGGCAAGCGCCGTTCTTGATAGACTGATGAAGAAGGGGGGAGGGTACCTTGACATTGTGATGTACAACACGTTGATTAACGTGCTGGGGAAAGGGGGCCGAATCGAAGAAGCAAACATGGTTTTTGGACAGATGAAGAGGGTGGGGATAAATCCTGATGTTGTCACTTACAACACTCTGATTGAGGTTCACAGTAGGGCGGGGAGACTTGAGGAAGCCTACAAGTTTTTGAAGCTCATGTTGGACGCCGGGTGTGTGCCAAACAGTGTGACCGACACCATCCTGGAATCCCTCGACAAGGAGATTGAAAATGTACGTTACCGGAAGGCTTCGCTTAAAAACCCACCTTAATGTCATATGCTTAGACTATGTTTGGTATTATAAATGCAGAAGGAAAAAGGTAGGGGAAAATTGATTTGGTGTTTGGTTAGAAAGAAAAAGATAAGTAAATGTGAGGGAATAATTTCTCACCAATTTTCTTAATTTCTTTATTAATCAAAATTGATTAGTGTGTATGAAGTGTGGATGAGATTAAGAACTTGTTCTTTAGAGCTTGAACTTTTAACTTTCAGTTCCTTTCAGTTCTTTCCAGTTTTTTCTAACTATTCTCAATTTTTTCAAACTCTTTCTACTCCTTAACCAATTACTCTAAAAACAATATATTTTAATTTGATTATTATTATTATTATTACAACTGTTATGTCCATAACTATAGTTTATAAATTATTTTTTTCATCTCACTATTTTTACGATTCACACTCATTATTTTTTTTCAATTTTTTAATATGAATAAGACAATTTTTTTTGTATATTATCGGAGTAGTCTACATGATAAAACAGGAAACCATCAATATTTTAAATTATATTAAAAAATTATGGATAAAATAGTGATATTGAATGTTTTATTAATCTAACTTTATATAAGACCTCTCACATTTGCCTTTATTACTTAAAATTTGTTCATTTTTCTAATTTTTATATAAAAAAAATTGTAAGTCAAAATAGTTTAGAAAAAAAGAATAAAATAGGAGTAAAACATAAAAAATGTAAAAAAAAAAGTTTTATGTCTTTATTCCAAAAATAGGACTTCAATGAAAATAAAATGTCAATCATGAAAGAAAACATAGGTTTGATTACATTATGTGACATGTCTGATATTTAAAACAAAATTTTGTAATATATAAAGTATAATTACAAATATATTATTTATAATAAATACTGCATAAATACATTGAGATGCAATATAACCACAAAGACTTTTTAAAATTTAATATTTTTATATTTATGCTAACTTTATATAATAAATATTTTTTTGCAAATGTAGCTTTTTGTATTTAAAAAATACTCCGTAACAATACTTTTTTTGTATCTTAAAGCCATTCATTAAAATAACGTGATGATGATGATGATTATGATGATGATAAAGATGATAATCATAACAACAACAACAACAACAACAAGAATTTAAAATAAATGTTTTTAAAGTTTTTTTAGGTTTTCCAATTTTTTTTTTTGAAGTTTTTCCAGTTTCTTCCAGTTTTTTTAGTTCCTTCCGGTTTTTTCCAGTTTCTTCCGGTTCTTCCAGTTTCTTCCAGTTCTTTCCAGTTTTTTCTAGTCCTAAAGAACAGACTCTAAGTGATTAACACTAGTAAAAAAAGAACTTGAACAACATAATTAATAGAGAAAATCTCATAAACAATTGTTTCTAATATATGATTTTCCACATGTAATCCCCAATTCTAAAATATCATATTTATGGTCCTCAATTTTTAAAAGAGTAATTTACTAGAATAGGATCTAAACATTCAGCTTTTCCCTAAATAGGAGTTGTCCTATGTGACCCAACGTTCCCTTAGGCAAAATGACCACAATAGCCTCCACCATAAACTCTAATAAACTTTAATGTTAAAAAAACTTTCGCCGAAAGAATTGCTAAAGATTCGGCGATAATATTGGCCATTCAATAATATTATGGTCAAGTGCGGTTATCAAATTAAATAATCATCATACTATGTGAATGATCGTAATACATATGGAAATGTGAAGGCTTTTATTATGTGGTCAAGGTTACACATTAGTGCATTAAGTGTATGATATAGTTTAAAATCCAACGACTAGCTTAGGACAAAAGTACAAAATACAACTACGAATAAAAGAAGGTTAGCATATAAAGAAGAAGAATTTACTTAAATATCACTAAAACATAAAAACTTTGTCTAAATAGCATCATATGAGTTTTTTCCCAATGTAGCACTTTAAGTCATTATCTATTAGTCATTATTCAAGTAAATATTTGCCATCACTGGTCATTATTTGTCATTCTGGACATTATTAAGTGCTATTTAGGAAATAAAACAATTTAAGTGCTAGTTAGGGAAATGACTTCGGTTTTAGTGCTATTTAGTGCAAATATTTCTATAAAGAAACATACATATAATTGGAAGGTAGAATATCGGTATAATTTGTGGCAGGCAAAAAATATACATAGATCATTAAAATAAGAGTACATAACATGTGTAAAATAAAGTATATTGATATAATTGGGGTTGGGGAAAAACAAGCCCTTAGAGTAAGAGTATGAAGTATAGATGAGAACAAAAATACTCCGTAAATGACTTGCTTGCACATAAATTCATAAAGGCCTTCTCTTTGGCGAGCCACGCCTTCTTATAATTCATTATAATGCCATGCTCCCTTCGCATGGAATTCAGAGCGCAAGGCTTTGTTGTTGCATCATAAAAATTGTGTTTACCAAGTTCTGGAAGAATGTTATACGTAGCTTGCCTTGTTGTGCCTTGACGTGCATCGATAGGGCATTATTATTCACGATTATACCTAATAAAGGATCACGAGAAATGCGAAAGTAAACATAAAAAGTTACAAAAATGATATAAATGGTAAAAGAGACACTTTTCACTTGTCATAATGGATAATGCTAAGAAACAAGATAAGGCAATAAAAAAAGTAAATAAGAAATTATGCAATTATTATTTTTGGTAAAAAATGGAAGACATTATAAACACTATGACAAACATCGATTAAAGACCAATGTGAAGTGTAATAGAAATGTATGTGTGCAAGGGCATTTAAGCACATATTAGTGGATGAGGATGTTATAAAACAATACAGGAACATTGATTAAAAGATCACCATGGATTGTATTAAATGTTAGGAAGAAAATATGTCTAAGGTCATTTAAGTGTACATTATATGGTTTTGTACAAAAAAGGGTACATTATATAGTGACTAGTAAGAAGACATTATAAAGGACTAGAAGAAGATTGATTAAACGACCATCTTGGAATGTATTAGACATTATGCACAATACATGTCTCTGGTCATTTAATGATACTTTAGACATGAACAGGGACAAAGACATTGTAAATCGCTAAACAGAAGATTGATTAAAAGACCATCTTGGACTATTTAGACATTATGCACAGTAGTATGTTGGACATAATCGATAAATTAGGACATTAATGACCATAGTAATAAAAATAAATATAGACACTATGATAGACGATAAAGATAAATAAGGACGATATTAATGAGTAGAAAATGAAATGTAAATAAGTAGGATTGAATGCTCGAACCATCATCAATCACGTGTGTTGAGGAGGAATCGAATATATACAAAATCTTGTAAACAAAATTTTTAAGAGGAATTTACCTAAATAGGACTAATACATAGTGACTTTCTCAATATAGGACCATATTTTTTTCCAATATAGGATCATTGGTCATTATTCATTAGTCATTACTCAAGTAAATTTTTCCACCATCACTGGACATTATCTCCTCACTAGATATTATTAATTAATTTTTAGGGAACTGTATTACGAATTACTGAAGTGGCATCTACATTCCATTCACCGTCAAATGGCAACAAAAGATGGATGGTGACGGGTGTGGGCGCATGAACGAAATATGAAATAGAAGCCAATTATGAAAAACACATATAGAAATTAGAATCATATGGGGAGGAGATCTGGTGGATAACGGTGTTGATAAGTCCAGAGGTTGAACACGAGAAACATGCGGAAGATACAAAATGTTAATGGAAGGGAAAATGGAGTAATCATTACCTAAAAATAGGAGAAGTTATTGATGATTATCTTCTAAATATGATAATATAATCCTAATTAAAATAGAAAGCTTTGGAATAGTGACGTGTTGGTTGAGGGTAAATGTGGATACACGCATAAAATTTACTCCTAAATCTAGGAAAAAACAATAATAGTCCTCTTTAGGGAAAACACGTATCTTTTAGTCCTAATTGGAACAAATTTTACTTTTTAAAACCTACGGAGTATTTCATAACTAGTTCTTTGGGATCTATTTTTGGTAAAAAATTATTTGGTCATATTTGGCTTAAAGTCTAATTATGGAATAGTTTATAAAAACTGAGAATTGCGAATATAATATCATATAACTTGAGACTAAATATGAGAAATCAAATGTTGTAAAGGATGATTTACAAAACTTACTCAAATCAAAATACTCTCTTCGTCTCATAATGATTCCTGCTTTGATTGCTCACAATTTAAAAAAAGCATTTTAAAAAAAGTGTACTATAAATGTAACCCCATATATAAGAGAAATTCTCACATGTTTTTTCCTTTAAAATAGAAAAGTGAGAATTGATTTTGGTAGATTGCAAAATGGAAAGCAAAAACTATTTTAGAGAACATGAGTATTTTACTTTGGAACATTTCAAAAAGAAGAATAAAAGCTCTATTTAGAGACAGGATAAAATATGTTTCTCATTTTTATGCCAAAACACGCCTCCTAGCTCATTGCATAGTAACTACATACAACCTACCTAGTAAAATGAGCTTTGCTCACATATAAGAGAATGTTGTTTCAAAGAAAAATGAATAGAATAAGAAAAACTAAATATAAAAAGACCAAAAGAAATGATCATTCTTGAAAGCAGTAGTGAGGATATGTGCATTGTCTCCAACTCTCAATAGTGAATACACAATTTCGGGTATAAAAAATAATATTTTCCGAACCCGTTTTCCGGGTTGTATGTATAGATTGCACAACTTCAACTTTCTATTCCACATTTTGGCTCAAAATACAATTTAATTATTAGGTAAAGAGAAAAAAATATATGAAAAGTGGAAACTTTTGAATCAAACTTTCATTAATGACATAACCAGTTCAACATGAATGGCGAAATAATTAGTAATCAGAAAAACAAAAAAAACAATGCAACTTATTGGTCATTTCCTACCCCAAGAATCCACTGTGCAAGATGAGTTAAATACGGCTCTGCGCGAGACCCACTGCTAAAAATTGGTCCTAAGCTCTGAAGCTCGGCTGTGAATTCCCTCTCAAACTTCCTGCAGAGTTTTCATTCATTATGCAAAAAAAAAATCATGGAAATACTCTTAGACGACATAATTATATCACCAACACTTCCTACAATTCAATATTTTCACAATAATACTCCAAGATTGCATATTGATCATAGATTCTTGGAGTATTATTGTTACAATATTGAATTTCTGGGAAGGATTATTATGTACTCTTGGAGTATCCTTTTAAAAAAAATCTCAAATTTTTTGGATTATTGACTTGAATATTTCATTAGTTTTTATTAATAAACAACCCAAAACACTGGAGAATAAGGGTTGGATAGGTGTGTGTGCAGGGGGGTGGGGGGGTCATCGTGCTAACTCACATAATGGATCCAAATACTGTGGAATCTTCTGTTGCTGGCTTCAGCATCTGTGATTTGGTTCTTAGTTTTAAACGGTTAAACTTTTCCATCTGAGGAGCCATGGGAACCTCAAAGGCAGCAGTAATTAACCGTTGTGTAGCTGCTGCATACTGTAGGCATATTGCTTTTAAACGCTCGACCTTCTGCATTTAAANGGTGGGGGGGTCATCGTGCTAACTCACATAATGGATCCAAATACTGTGGAATCTTCTGTTGCTGGCTTCAGCATCTGTGATTTGGTTCTTAGTTTTAAACGGTTAAACTTTTCCATCTGAGGAGCCATGGGAACCTCAAAGGCAGCAGTAATTAACCGTTGTGTAGCTGCTGCATACTGTAGGCATATTGCTTTTAAACGCTCGACCTTCTGCATTTAAAAGAATTCACAGCAAGGATTTTCAGTAAAAACGTTTCACCGCTGTGAAGGTTGAACAAGTAACCTGACCAATAAAAGGGATGCAATATTTACCTTGAGAATAGAGGGTGAAAGAAGCAAGCATTCCCTCAAACACTGGTCAAGGAAAAAATCGTGGTAGTGTATTACCTATATTTACCAGAGAAAAATAGGTGGCAGTACGAAAGTCAATTAGAAATTGGAACGGCCAAAAGAAAAGGCTGCAAAAGCACTCTTTCAAGATATTCCATATAATTAACAACTTTTGGTATATGATATAAACTCAAAGACATTGTTTACATTCTTTATGTTCTTGAGCTTAATTGTAAAAAAAGCAGTATGATTTATTGATAAAATGAAAAAATAAGACTGAAAATGATTATCCTCAACAAATACAACCAAAACAATGCCTCAAAGCCTACTTTTTTTATTTTTAAGTTCTAACCAATTTAGAGTGAGCAGTCAATACGGTATGAGATATAGTAAACAAATCTGGATGATTAGGCTGAAAAGCCAAAAATGACACCAAACGGCCGCAATCACTTGTGGGCGTAGACGTCTTTGGTACGAGGTGTGTATTGTGAGAATGCACCGATTAGCTAGATAGACAACTATTTTGTCAAAAGTAGGGCATTGTTTGAAAGCACATCTGACAAGTGTCATTCAAGTTGTTTTATTGTCGTGGCTTTGAAGCTGCAACTCTTTTATTTTTCCAACAAACTTTTGGAGAAATATGTTGTGTAGCTTAAAGCCAAACCAGGCCCATGTCACGCTTCGTGAGTTGAGCATATTTGGAGTAACATATTCTGTAGCTTAAAGCCACAGCAATACCAAATAAGGCATAAGTCAAGCTTCTTGAGTTGAGCATGTTTGGATAAGCATGACTATTATGACACCTCACCTCATCAATGCTTTTTGCAGTTTGAAGTCTGTTCTGCATCACATGCCAATTAGGCTCGATAACCTAAAGAATGTAAACAAGCATTTCAGTGAATGAAACCTTATTTCAGTGTATACTACCTTATTTGTTTGCACCATGGCGTTTTTTCCTTCTGTGAACAAATTTTGCTTGTTGTAGTAAAATATTACCAAAAGGAATCATCATTTATTTACTCCATTACTCCAAATCCAAAGTGGCAAAGATAACTGATCCAGTTATTTAAATATTTGTGCAACATACGTAGTAAAATATGCAACCATCCCCTATACCCACTATGAAATAAAAACATTATGGCTCAGTCTAATTCAAAGAAAATAAATTGTGGAAAATAGTTGCCGGAGAGTGTTTTCGATGGAAACTTTTTCCCTGAAAGATCAAGGAAAATAAGTCATTCAATGCAAAAAAAAACTCATTCAATGCATAGTATAATGTTCGGCACACAAAAACAGATTATTTTCCGGCAAACAAACAAAACCTACATGTGCAAACCATACCCACAAATAGCAGTCAATCAGATATGAAGAAAGGAGAGAGGGAGAGGGAGAGAGAAAGAGAAAGAGCGACAAAACTGACTGACATAAACAAAACACTGAGGTATTTTCTACTTTTTCTTTTGGTTATTGGCAGAACTTGCCTCAGATGTAAGGTAGTGTAGGAGGCTGTTAATAAACTTTAGCATATTGCGACATAGTAATGATGATACAGAGATTGCCGTGCCATGCATATCAAGTTTCCGGAAACCCTGAAAAAATGAGAATAAAAATACATGTCAGGGGAGGGATAAAAAAATTGCTACATTGGAACAAAAAATTAAAATAAAATAAATATTGCTAACAGTTGATGATAGAAGCTTAAGTTGCATACTTGATGTACTTGCCATGCCCCAGAGAGCTGCCGGTCAACATGTTTACAGTGAAATAGAAAGCGAAATATTAGCTGGTACTTTGTCAAAGCCTTCCTTGAAATTACAAGGGACAAAGGCCATTGAACCTGAAATCCAAAACACATTATAATGACCACAATTCTAGGTGACATGAATGGAATTTTAACTATTGAAAGAGACAGCATGCTGAAAGTTAACCAAACTAGATATGTTTTATACAAGCAGGCAAGCAGCTATTGAAAAAATTATACAGAGTGGAATACATATTAGAATTGCGAATTTGCGTTGTTCTACGATAAAATAGTACTCTCTCTCTATTCTTTAATATAAAGTATCATTTAAATTTTCTTGTAATTTTTCATTGTTTACCTCTAATAATGTTTTTATGTTTATTTTTAAAAGTATTCATTTAGAATGCAAAACAAAAGAAGGTAAATTTGGAATATATAATATGTTTAAGATCTGAAGAAAATTAATTACTCTCCTTAGTTTGTGGGAATTGGTGAATCGTGCCTTAAAATAAGAAACATATGTTGGAAGAAAATTGGAACATATATTTATAGGGGCTGGTTCTCGTTAGAATGAACCTTGGTGAAAGAAATAAGAATGGTGCATTTTGTATTCATCACGGTGCATTTTATAGAGCAGGTAGTTCCGCATGGTGCATTTTACAAGGCAGGTAGTGCATTTTACAAAGTTTGATTTAATAACATAAATGCCACCGCGACTTTTCTACTTTTTCTTATTTTTCAAATTTTTGTGGCCCTTAGATCTCACATTCTAAAGCGCCACATGCATTCTTTTTTCTTTCATAAGATCTCATTCTCACCAGAACCAAAATATATATATATATATATATATATATATATATATGTATGTATGTATGTATGTATGTATCTATGTATCTATGTGTGTGTGTGTGTATGTGTGTGACTTAAAATGATATAATATCACATACCTTGTAGTTCAAAGAAAATGTTTCCAAGCCAGTGATGCTCACTGGTTCATCTAAATTATGGCTGTCTGAAACAAGCTGATTAACTTCAAGATCTTTTAGCATACTCAACCTTTTTAGCAAAGTTGTTCTCTCCTGAAACCAGATATTGAAACCAATACTCTTGCGTATTCATCGCCAAGTTCTCTAAATTAAAGTCCTAGCCTGTTTTTTTTTATCTATTTTGTCTTTGAGTGCTTCTTTGGTGCACCTTGGGTGCATATCATTTTTGTGGACCTTCTCACATAAAAATCTTTTTTTTTATTTTTTTATATAAAAAAACAAATACTTATTTAAGTAGTAAAGAAATGCTTATTTTACTCATATGTAGGTCCATGGTGGACCTTAGGTCCACCATAGAATTTGCCTTTGTCTTTTGATTGATAAAAGTGCTACTTACCACACAACATGACAAGTCCTCATGGCATGGGTCAGCAGCAGCAGCTGTGGTTCGCAAGGCAAGATCCAAAAGAGACTACATAATAAGAAAGTAAAAGTCATGAAAATTTGAGTTCACGCATTTTATCAAATAGTGGATTGACTGAAAATTAAGTATCAGACTTATTAGAGTATATACTAGTGTACAGTGAACAATACCTGAAGCTTCTCCACTGAAATCTCATCTGGCTTCTTCATGAGCTCCTCTTTGGCTATATCCATGAAGTGAACCAAGAAATCACCCTACATAGTCAGGGAGAATGATGGTGATAGTATCAAAATTCAAAAGTCCATCTGCTCACATTCATCGAGTCCATCCAAAGGTAATATCCATCCAGTATAAAATTAATTATCATGGATTGGATCCATTTGTATTACAAAGATTGTTAGTGATCCCTCAATTATATTTATAATGCATTGGTTCACATAAAAAAACCATATAAATCATTATGTGCACCACACAAACATTTGTACATAGGGGAAGCCATAAGAAAATGTGCATGGACTGAATGTTTTAATGAATGTTTCATGGATCATAAATGGAATAATGGATTGTTTTTAATCCATTCATTCTAATCAAACTAAAAGTTTGTCTAATCCATCAATTTGTCCATACATGATGCTACCACACGGGCACACCGCAGTGGCGCAACCTCTATGAATGATTAGATGAACAATTCTTACACTTATGTTCGGAGTGGGGAGACATCAAATAGAATACATAGATAGTAGCATGTGAATAATACATTTCATGTAAAGGGAAGATCGAGAGTGGTCTACAAAACCAGAGATGCATAGACTTATGTGTATGTCCATAAAGAATTAAGTGAACAATATTTTCCCACTTTCATGACCCGAAAATACCCACTAAAGTGTCAATTGGCTTTTCTTGGTTCCTAGACCTATTGCATCGATGTGCTGAGTGTTTAATACCTGATCAAGGAGGAGGTAGTGCTTGATAGACCGCAACTTTGCCATAAGATCATACTGCCAATGAGAATATGTAAATAAATTGATACTTGACATGATAGTTTACTGAACTTTACGCATTTAGTTTCCACCAAAAAAGGACAAATTGGATTGCACTTCTCAGTTCTCACCTTCTCTTTAACTAGGTTTAGTAACTCACCACTGGCAAAATCATAAGCAGCCTTGATGCACTCAAGATAATGGTGGTTTGAACTAACACTAGTCAACTTCGAATTTTCTGCCACTGGGACCTGTAAAGTTTGATAAAGAAATAGAGAAATAGATGTACATGTAATTGTTCTAAACTGAAATGCATATGATACAATATGTAATTTTGCTGTAAACCTGAATACTGTGTCCACACTCTCTCATGACATTCAAATATTTTCCTGTGGTTAAAATTGTTTCAGCAGCATTTGCTATAAAGCTTGGAATATCACCCTTGAGGGTGTAACACTGTTGCCAATACTTGGCATCATAATCTTGAGTGAGACTCTCCTGCATAGTGGTAGAGGTATCAATTAAGGCATAGTCCTAATACAAGTAATTGTATATAATATCTTGAGTGTTTTAAGTTACAGCCCACAAGGTAAAAACTTTTCCTTTAGAAAAATCACACCTTAAGAAGAGACTTGTTCTCAGCAATAAAAAATTCTCCATACGGGTCATCAATCTTTCCTTCATACACCCACCTGAAATGTATTAATTTTTTTGTTGAGCAATGAAAGCAGCTATTATCTACTCAAAGGAGCAGTAGAGGCTTCTATTAAAATCTCAAAGGTAGAGGTATGGAAAGAGAAAGTCTTTGCCTTGGCCCAGTGAAGGAAGAATGGTTCGCCTTTATATTCACCTAGTGAACTTTTAAACCAATTTAGTACATTGTCATAAAACTTGAGGTACCAGTGCCAGGATTACCCAAAGTTCATGTAATCCAAAACTAACACTTTGTATTCACTTCCTAATAGTAAATGAGATGAACCATTTAAACCTGACTAGAAAATGATACGTGAGAAATGCATTCGAACAAGCTCTAACTGGAACTTGGATGCGTAAAGATCACAGGAAAATTTGGAAGATTTGTAATTTAAAAAAAGGTTGCATTACATTCCTAACAAAAATTGATTTGGGACGATATTCGGATAAAATGACAAAAAATTTGGGACAGAAGGTGGGTAGTTATTTAAAAAAGAGTACCTTTCGAGTATCCCAAGATATGCACTGCTTGCTGACTGCAACATCTTTTCCAGCAAAGACCTGACTACATGATCACCGGACATGGCCTTGGCCTGGAAACAAAAACATTAAAGATCAATTTCTAACACTAAAGAAATTTGAGCATGCAGTTAACAACAACAACAACAACAACCTAGTTGAATTCCACAAGAGTAGGGTCTGGGGAGGGTGTGTGTACGCAGACCTTACCCCTACTCGAAAGTAGAGAGGCTGTTTCCAAAGAGACCCCCGGCTCAACGTCGAAAGTTGCATTGCTTGACTAACTGCTACTTCATTAATTAAAGAAGCACAGTTTAGAGATCTATTTTGATTTATTCCATCACACCCCAAAGCCAAAAAAATGGTGAAATTTTGGCTCCATCGGAGATAATGGAAAAAATTTGAGCATACAGTTATGGAAGATTAAACAAACCAAAAGCTTAGTCAAACACTCTAATTATGCACCTGGCTTTGCAAGAGATTAATGACAGCTGAACCCAAGATATTACTGCAAGAAGCCTTTTTCACCACAGTGGACAAAGCTTGCATTGAACCCATCATTGGCTAAAAGTTCAAAAAACCCTTGGTTCTTTAAAATGTGAAAAATGAAATATGAGCAAGCAAAAGGAAAAGAACTCTAAATACCTGACAATAGAACCATAATCCTTGAATAGAAAGCTTTCCTAAACGAAACTGATGCTCGAGCTGAGCCACCATGGCATGATAATCCTGAAATGGAAAGACTTTATTTCACTTATTACTTAACTAATCTTCAATTGAATCTTCTGTCTACTTTTAGACGCTTGAAGTTTATAGACATTTCAAAAAGGTTCTGCCATGTATATGCTAAAAAATTGATAATAAAATAGAGGGAAAAAGTAGATCCAACTAACATATCAAATTTATTTCATTCTTTCTATTCCCTTTCCTCCCTTCGTGAATTAAAGCAATCCATAATGACCTTGGTTCTATTCAGGTTTTGAAAGGCAAAATTGGGTCTGTGAAATAAAAAATACTCCCTTTGTCCCCCATAGATCTTCCCAATAGCCCTTTTTCTTTGTCCACATTAGATCTTCTCATTTCATTTTTTAACAATTAAAATACCACAACTACCCCCACTTACTTTATTTATTACACCTCACCCACCTCATTTAATACACTTCACCCATTTTCATTAAGGGTATTGTGGTAAACTTTCATCTTTTTTCAACTCTCCTTAAAAACCATCAAAAGTCAAAATGAGAACATCTTAGGGGGACGGAGGGAGTATACTATTACAATATGACTTGGTTACAAATCTACAAATGAAGAGGAACACCTCATTATGTAAGTGGAAATGAGGCCTAGGCAAGTGGCTAGGGTTTTGTGTGTGCAAATGAGTTGTAAAGTACTACTTCCTATGTTCCAAAACAATCAAAACTCTTGTTTTTCACGTTTAACAAAGCACAAATTAAATCATTGATATATTCAATTGTTTTGTAGTAAAAAAAATATAAAAACGCATTGATATTATGAATGTTTTTATCGAGATGAATCTAACAAGATCCAACATGACTATATTTTTACTTACATATAGATCACAAAACATATGGTCAAATGAGGGTGTGAAATTAGTGTGAAAATTTGACTAATGTATTTATTTTGGAAAGGAGGAAAGATAGACTTATCCTAACATTCAAACAGAGCCTGGCAGTCACGCTCTACCTCACCAGGCATAAGCCCCAAGGCAAAGTGAGGTATAAGTCTCAAATTAACATATACAGAATTTGAAAATTAGAGTTAAATAGATAATTCATAATAATAGTTTAATGATGCATTTTTCAAATATCATATCAACCCATAATGAAAACTAAGAACCTATTTTAGACTTAAGATCCTTGGTTTCTAAGCCCTGAAGTACTAAACTTCAAAACATATAGGATTATTCATTGTATCATTATCTAAGGCTTGTCGTGTGTATTGGTGGCTGGTGGAAGGTAGCTCAGCTGCTTGTGAATGCTAACTCTGTACATGGACAGTTTGAGAATCACATCATGGACAAAGATGAAAAATGAATATTAGAATTGTGTTTTTAGGAAGAAAAACCAAAACAAAACAGACGAGGGGAGTCAGACTATTGTTTTCTCGTTGAAGGCTGGCAACTTTTGAAAATTGGCCTCTCTAGAGAGAGCCAGACTCCAAACCCCTCTTTAAAATCAAGGCATAAGCCTTAATAGCTTATGTGTCTTAAAGTTTGTGTGCCTCTTGCCTTAACGGCATCAAGTCATATGCCTTGTCTCTGTCGACTAGGACTTAAGCCATCAGTGCATTTTCCACACACCTTTAAGCCGCATAAGCAGTTAAGCACCACATTGACTAAGCACCTTTTATAACTGTGAGAACTTCCTTCTATTCAAAACCCTCTCCACTTCTATTGGTGTTTCTTTGTGTGTGTGTGTGTGTGTTTGTGAGGGGGTCCCCATTTAAAAAAAGAAATTTTCATGTGGGTGGACCACATAAAAAAGCAAAACACCCTTCATGATATCAAGAATCTATGTAACTCTAACTCATAACACACAATGCTTAACCAAGTGTCAGTTGGATTTAGTGTCCCCTAAGCTGGAGGCTAAGAGTTACTCTCATACAACAATGACCCCCTATGTCCCAAAATAAAAGCGCATTTCCTTTTTTGGTAAGGAATACGTTGCCCTCATTATTTCTCTCTATTTGAAATCAATTCTAGTCATCAATTTTTCAATTTTCAACCTTTTTCTTAAATTCCGTGTTTGGTCAAAATGGACATTTAATTTGGGAAGGAAGAAGTATAACTAACTGCACAAAGATAATCAATTGTAACCAAAGTTTGAAAGCAATACTATAAAATAGAAATATTTGCTTCTGCAAAGCTTATGGTACGATGATTGACAAGTGATCCTACCAGAAGAAGTGATCTTAGAGCAGCTGCAAGGGCATGATTAACTAAGCCAGTCTTGAACTGCGATCTTGTCTCAATAAATTGGTTGATCAGCAAATAACTCTCGCATAAGGGGAACAGCCTTTTTGAAGATTCCTGCAGGTTTACACTGTTATATTCGATCAAATAATAAAAAGACAAACTTGTTGAGGCATCAATCAATTTTATATTGAGCACGATTAGTCTTCAGCTACAAATCAAAACAAAATCTGTGGTATGAAATGAAGTTTAGTGACACAAATAAATCTTAGCACCTTTAAAGGATCATCTTTTTGTGTGCATATAAAATTATAAATAGTAAATGTATGCAAACACCACAGAACAAATTTTAGAATTCTTAAGTTGATTGAAGGTGTGATTTAGACATTGTGTCTTTTCTCAGTCCACTTAAAATTTAAATATGTAAATAATTATATTTCAAGAAGAACAATCTCTTTTCTTATGAAATTTCACACAGGATAGATCAGGACTACAAATTTTCTTCAATATAACTTCATAAATTCTTAGGCATATTATATAAGTACAAGACAGGTGATCATGTAGTTTCGCCTATCTTGTAATTAGCAAAAATCAAACCTGGAGTGCAAGATCCATAGATACATCAACCTGAAAAGATATACTATTTTCCTTCCCTTGGGCTCTTTTAATTGAAATATAGCGTCCTTCAATCCCAACCAATGCAGACAAAAGATCATCAATAACTATCAGTTCCTGCATAGGGCACATAAAATGATGGTCATATGTGAAATGCCAGTATGGCCATACAGAGACAAAAACAGACATCCATGCTTTTTCAGTAAGTCGAAGACAGATACGGAGATTAAACTTTTACAAACACTAATATTGTTGAATACCTGAATGGCAGCATGGTAGCAACATATTGCCTTATCCACTCCAGAACTGTAACAAAACAAACATAAATTGATCTAATTCTTATTTGTTAGACAGTATTACTAATAATTCTAATTATGGCAGTATTCATGTAATAGTCAGCTTCCATAATAGGTTGAGTCGTAATTATGTCAGGATCTCCTCCTATATATACACCCATGTATACTCTCTATGCTTTTGAATAAATCCATATTCTATTATTCAACATTATTAAACAACACCTTTCCTGCTAATAAATTAGAACACAGAGAACATCAACAAATGATTGTAGCTTCCGGATAATCAGAGAACTTTGAGCTTAGCATTTTCTCATTAAATAAAACCATAGCCACAAAATAATACTCCAACGAACATGAATGGGTTCAGGCTATTTTCCAGATTTGAAAATGAGCCACTGGAGTGAAAAATATGAGCTGATGTGAAGTTAATACCTGGAAGGTTCGTGAAATGTGGATTTTGTTTCCTGAATGCAAATTCAAAGCTTTTACTTAGAAGAAAAATAAATAGAGCGAAGAAGATGAAGAATGAACTGGAAATTGGTGAAATGGAATAGGAAACGGGATGAGGACCTGGTGGAACCGGCCGGTAAGGAAAGGTCGATCCACATTCCAGCGAGGAGTTGATATGCCTGTGCCTACAAGAGATGTAGTAGCTGATTCCATCGCCAATTGCTCCGGACTCCCGCTCGAGGTCTAGAGAGAGGAGACCCGGGTTCCAAATTTTCGGAATTCTGTTCTGACTCGTCTTCTTCCCGTTGCCTGTAGACTAATGGGTGTGTTTAAACTTTTGGATGGTTGGATCGGGTATGGAATGAAAGATTAGAATTTGCAAATACTTGGAGTTCATATTTATGAAAAAATATATATATAATCACCAAACTCATACGAAGTTAAACATAAGGTCAATTTATTCTTATTATCATCATAAATCCCTAAATCCAAGCTCAATTCCATTCTCTGCTCTTAGTCATTTTCTCAATGCTTTATTATGTGGATATTTATTTTCCATGTATTCATTAAAGAATCATGCTACACTTAGACCAAAACTTGTACTAAAGGTATACATCAACATTTTAATTGTTTATATGACACAAAGGGCCTGTTCTTTAGAAACGTAAAAAAAGAGCTGGATGTTGGAAGAAACTGGACAAAACTGGAAGGAATTGGAAGAAACTGGAAAGAACTGGAAGAACTGGAAAAAACTGGAAAAAACTGAAAGAAATTAAAAAAAACTAGAAGAACTGGAAGAAACTGAAAAAAACTGGAAAGAACTGGAAAAAACTGGAAAACCTAAAAAAAACTTTAAAAATATTTATTTTAAATTCTTGTTGTTGTTATTATTATTATTATTATTATTATTATTATTATTATTATTATTATTATTATTATCATTATCGTCAGTCGTCATCATCATCATCATCATCATCTTAGTGAATATCTTTAAGATATAAAAAAGTATTGTTATTTTTTAAATACAAAAAACTACTTTTACAAAAAATAATTTTAATATAAAATTAGCATAAATATAAAAATATTAAATTTTAAAAAGGCTGTGTAGTTATACTGCACCTCAATTTATTTATGCAGTATTTATTATAAATAAAACATATTGTTTCTTTCATGATTGACATTTTATTTTCATTGAATTCCTATTTTTGGAATAAAGATGTAGAACTTTTTTGTTTATATTTTTTATATTTTACTCATATTTTAGTCTTTTTCTCTAAGCTCTTTTGACTTACAATTTTTTTTATAAAAATTAGAAAAATGAGCAATTTTTAAGTAATAAAGGAAAAACTAAGATGTCTTATAAAAAGTTATATTTATAAAACATTCAATGTAACTATTTTATCCATAATTTTTTAGTATAATTTAACATATTGATGTTTTCCTATTTTATCATGTAAACTAATATACAAAAAAATGTCTTATTCATATTAAAAAGTTGAAGAAAAAAATAATAAGTGTGAATCGTAAAAATAGTGAGATGAAAAATAATAATTTATAAACTATAGTTATGAATATAACAGTTGTAATAATAATAATAATAATAATAATAATAATAATAATAATAATAATAATAATAATAATCACATTGAAATATATCATTTTTAGAGTAATTGGTTGAGGAGTAGAAAGAATTTGAAGAAAATGAGAAAGGTTTGAAGAAACGGGAAGGAACTGGAAAGAATTGGAAGAAACTAGCAGGAACTGGAAAAAACTGAAAGGAACTGGAAGAAACTGGAAAAAACTGGAAAAAACTAGAAGAAACTAGAAGAAACTGGAAGAAATTGGAAGTTAAGAGTTCAAGTCCTAAAGAACAGGCTCAAAGTATTGGTGCGTTAACAAAAATTTACACTAACACAAAGTGTTGGTGCGTTAACGAAAATTAACATTACACCAACACAAAATGTTGATGCACATCTGCTATGTACAAATACAAACCTTTGGGATACAAATAACTTTATCCATTCATTAAATTATACTCCGTACTATACTTTTGATAACACTCTTAAGGTAAATATGGTATTCAAAAGAAATATTTGCACTAAATAGCACTAAAACTTAAGTCATTTTCCTAAATAGCACTTAAACTCTTTTTCCCCCTAAATAGCACTTAATAATGTCCTTAATATCCAGTGATGACAAATATTTACTTGAATAATGACTAATGCATAATGACTAAAAGTGCTACATTGGGAAGAAAAACACATATGGTGCTATTTAGGGAAAGTCATTATGTTTTAGTGCTATTTAAGTAAATTCCTCAATTTAAAATGCATTTGACTCTAACTTCAAGCCTAAATTTTGAGCTCCACTATGTTAACAAATACTGATCCATCAATCATATTTTTTACGATCATTGTAAAAATTAAAATTCAAAAAAATAAAAATAAAAATCACCATTATAGTTGCAACCATGTCCATAAAAATAACAATCATATTCTCTACCACTACCATAATGTCTCCTTAGTGCTACACTACCATCCTCATTGCCACACCACCATTATAGTTGCAACCATGGCCATCAACATCACCACCACCACCATGACACATCCTTCTGTTGCCACATTATCGTAGAAATATGTTAGAATATAAATAACTGTTCCTGGGCCACAACCACAAGCTTGAGCTTTTGGTTGAGTTGGTTCCTTGACATGGTATCGGAGCCTCGTTGATTAAGAGGTCACGAGTTCGAAACTCATCGCCACCCAGTTTAAAAAAAATTAAGGTTTCACGTGCAAGGCTCAAAAAAGACTACGCCCCCACGTGAGGGGGCGTGTTAGAATATAAATAACTGTTCCTGGGCCACAACCACAAGCTTAAACTTTTGGTTGAGTTGGTTCCTTGACAAAATACTCATATTAAAAAATACCAAAAAATGATTAGAGATTTACCAGAAGATGCCATCATCATTCAACATCCATCAAACGAAATATCCTCTTATACAAAAATACCAAAAGATGTTTATGAGAACCATGAGAAAAAAACACACGAAAAAACTCCAAAGATAAATTACGACTATGGCTTTTTGCAAACTTCTTCCTCCCTCAATGCAGACAAAACCTCATTTATCGGTTGCCAGAAATCCCGTTAATACTAGAGAAAAAACCCTAGATCCACTAGAAAATATAATCTAACATTATCAGCCAAAATTTTGACGATGCATGGGGCTTTGCGTTCCTTTTGACACTAGGATCCATATGCAAGTGCGACGTCGCTGATGAGTGTGGTGGCATGGTAATGATTGCGGCGATCGTTGGGCATTGAATCAGGTCTCCCCTGCGATTTGATGTTTTCGACAACAATACAGGCAGTGTTTGGTGGTGATTTGCTCGCGTGAGGCCATGAAGCTTTCAGGAGGCTAGGTGTCCAGCGGTTGGATAGAGTAAAGTAATGTTCTCCTCAACTTATTTTTTTTACTTATTACTTAATTTTATTAGAACCAGATCAAAAATACTTTTAAATAAAACTATATTCAGATCAAATTAAATTAAAACTTATTCCCATAAAATTAAAACCAATCAGATGAAAATAACATAGTTCAGATTTCAAAGCCCATTTGATGCACAGAATTAAAATTAAATTCGAGGATAAAATTCTATTGAATTGTTTTGAATGTAATTGAATTTTATTGTTTGTCCCTCCAGTGCATCGTACGGCATATTTGCGGTAGCTCAGCAGCTGAGGCCTGCAACTGCAAGGTAAGCTTCAAGCGCTCAACGATTAGCTTGCCGCAAGCGATGATAGGAGGAATAGGAACGGCCGTTCGTGCGGCGGCAAGAAGATGCCCATTCGACAGCTTTCGCCCCCGCAACCCGCTTATTGCGGGCCATGCCGTCGATCGATTAGCCGCCGGCGCCGCCGCCGGCAGAGTCCTCACGCATCGTGAAAGAGACAAGTTATATCACAATTGGCCCCGCCCTTGTTCTGCGGGCGCTTTCCAATACGGTACCGCCGCGTTCCTCTACTCCGCGTGCTCCAGTACCAGCAGAAGCGAGGAAAATGGACAGGGTGAAAATGGCGGCGAGGGTGCAATAGACGGGGTTAAGAGAACCAATTTGGAATCTTCTCTCAGGAAAAGCAATTTTTCCGAAGCTTATTCCGCTATTGAACTCGCTTTGGACTCTGTTGTCAAGATATTCACACTCTCCAGCAGTCCTAACTACTTTCTCCCTTGGGTGAATAAAGTGGACCGCGAATCTACCGGCTCTGGTTTGTCTTCTTAACTTATGTGCATTTGAGGAATTGGGTTGTTGTTGTTGTATGTGCATTTAAACTCTGACCCTTTGTTTGAAAGACAATAGTGAATTGGGATAATGGGGGATGGTTTAAACAAATTGCACCCAATCGTGGCGCAAATATTATAGCCATTTCCTTACATCTCCTACAAAAACTATGGACCGTGGCATGCTCCGTCTCAAATGGTTGGTACAAGATGCATCCACCTCATATTTGAGTGTTGGTTTTGCGAGGTGTCTCCATCTTGCTAACCATTTTAGCAGCATGCTCTCCGCCGTAAGGAGCACACCATCCTACTCCGTAGATTCGGTGCATTTCACTCTAGCTATATCTTATGTTTCATTACATCAAGAGTTTGTTTGGTCATTGTTTTGTGGGGTAAAGAGCTTTAGGAATCTTACACTTGCGTTATTGTCAGGCTTTGTTATTCCTGGAAAAAGGATTCTGACAAATGCTCATGTTGTGGCCGATCATATCTTTGTACTAGTAAGAAAACACGGATCCTCAACTAAGTATAAAGCTGAAGTCCAAGCGGTTGGTCATGAATGTGACTTGGCTATTCTAGTGGTTGAAGATGAAAAATTCTGGGAGGATACAAACCCCTTGGAGCTTGGAGACATTCCATTTCTGCAAGAAGCGGTTGCTGTTATTGGTTACCCTCAAGGCAATTACATTGTGTTCGATTTAACAATAAATAGATCTTTCATTCTGGTATTACTATTAAAATTTTGTGTTGTGCTCAGGGGGAGACAATATTTCTGTCACAAAGGGTGTTGTCTCAAGGGTTGAACCTACGCAATATGTGCATGGTGCGAGTCAGCTTCTGGCAATACAAATTGATGCAGCTATTAATCCAGGAAATAGTGGAGGGCCTGCAATCATGGGTGACAAAGTTGTCGGCGTTGCTTTCCAGAACCTCTCTGGTGCAGAGAATATTGGGTATACCTTGAGACCTAGTTTCATTCTTATTTACTCCGTAACTATTTGAATATTCTTAAACCACGATCAATTTGCATTTTGTCTTTTAGAAAGAGGCAGAGGGGGATAAGATCTAGATTGATATATAACCTTCTGAAATCTACAGTAGTGCATTACTACAAATGTATATACATTCTTCTCATCTATCTAAAAATGAATGTGGTGTATGTAAATTAATGAGTATTCATTGTATTTTACTTTTTCTTGTTTGACATGTTGAGTACCAATTGCTAAATAAATTTCCTTATTTTCAGTTAAAGGTTAGAATCTAGATTTTAGATGTTTAAAAAACAAGAATCTAGATTTTAGAAACAGTTCTATTTACCATACTCTCTTCTACTCTTGACTAATTCCTTATGCATAGTTCTCAAGTTTGCGATGAACTGAAATAGTAAAACTAACTTTCATTAAATGAAAATATTTTGCATGACATTTCATGGTAAACTTGGCATATTACTACACCCCATTTTCACTGTCATTTTGGATTTTTTTATATTTCACAATACATCTTGCTTTATAAATTCAAGATGATATTTGATGTTATTTTTCCGTTTTTCTATTTATCCACCTCCACATTCAATTACTCCATTTAATGAATCTTCAGTGTGGGTAATATTGTCAAGTTATTTCTAATAGCTGATATTTCAAAATAAACTTGGCATGTTACTCTATCCCAGTAGCGTTTTGCATTTATAATAGCTGCAATTTGATGCATTGATATAAAATATTGTATTTGTAATTTCATTAATTTTGGGTGATCAATTATACCTATGACCTATGTGTTTACAGTTTGATGGGATGCATGCCTGCATGACCTATGTTTTTACAATTTTCTGATTCTTTTCCTTGGATGCTTCAGTTACATAATTCCTGTCCCCGTAATAAGACATTTTATAGCTGGAGTAGAAGAGAGCGGAAATTATGTAGGATTCTGCTCTATGGGATTGTCATGTCAACCTGTAAAAAATGTGCACCTCCGTAATTACTTCCGGATGGGTCCTGAATGTACTGGAGTACTTGTGACCAAAATCAACCCACTTTCGGATGCTTATAGGGTGTTGAAAATTGATGATATCATTCTTTCATTTGATGGTGTACCAATAGCAAATGATGGAACTAGTAAGCTGTTTTGGCCCCTACATGTTTTTCATTTCTTCATTTACATTGGCAAGTGTGTTTTAATGAAATGTTGGAGTTCCATTTTCATGTGAAAAAGTTTCAGTTCCACTCAATATATTGATATTAATCAAATGCCAATGGTATAGCTATGCGAATAATGAATTGAAAGTGAGAAGTTTTGTGGGATTGCTTTCACTGCCTTGTGATTTTTGAGTTAGCAATACGTTTTAAAATTATTTTCTTTCCATCCCACAATGAACTTCAAACTTTTCTTATTTTGAATTCCCCCAAAAAAACTCACTTTACTTTTTGTAAGGAATATGCGGCCTACAAAATATCTCTCTTCTAAACAAATTTCAGCCACAAAATTAACTTTTCAACACGTTTTTAATTTTCTTAAAGTCAAACACTAAAGTTCTTTTCTGAAGGAGGGACTATTTATTATGCATTTTTTCACGCATTTATGACTTATTTGACTACTAATGATTGTGTATTCTCTACAGTTACTTTTCGAAACAATGAGCGAATAACATTTGATCACTTAGTTTCTATGAAGAAACCAAATGAAACTGCAGAAGTCAGAGTACTTAGAAATGGTGAAGAACTCCAGTTTTGCATCAAACTTTTTCCAGTAAGTTGGCACATGGCACACATGGTGTGCATACCAGAATCAACTACAATACTTTTGACTATATGTATTTTGAAAATTACAATTAAACGTATTGTGGCTTTTAATCCTTTTGAAGTATTTATTTATGAATGTGTGATGTATTGATGTTTGATTGTTTTTTTGCAGTTGAAACCTCTCGTTCCAGTTCATCAGTTTGATAGGCTTCCCAGTTATTACATTTTTGCTGGTCTGGTCTTCACTCCTTTGACACAACCATATCTTCATGAATATGGGGACGACTGGTACAATTCTTCGCCTAGGCGACTATGTGAAAAAGCGACTTGTCGTATACTAAAATAGCGACTTGTCGTATACTAAAACACCGTAGAATACCTAGTGCTGTATCTAGTGATCTTATCGACGATGATGAAAGCCCACATGATCTCAAGTTAGCCTGCTTAAGCTGTTGATGCTTATTACGGAGTATATTCTTTTTAAACATTTTGTGATCAATCAATCAATGATCTCTTTGCCATATCACCATAGTTCTTATTTGCAAAGTTTGTTGATTCCATGAGTTTTTTATTCATTAAACAAGCTTAAAATGATAGCAATTTTATACTGCTCCCCTCCTTGAATAAGTGGCTTCATTTGATTGATATGGAGATGAATAAAAGTGATAAATTTTACTCCCTTTGTTCGAGATTTAAAGCCTGTTTTGATTTTTTTGGTCAAATCGTAATACTCTTTGATTACAAATTTAATATAGTTTAAATAAATAAATGTTACCCTCTGTCATGGAATTATTTTCTTTCTTCACTATTCTAAAATCACTTAAACTTTTTGTTTATTTGTACATTTTTATGGATTACTATTTGATAAAATTAAATATTTTTATAAATATGTTGTTTTGTAAAATTTTTGATGGAGTTTTAAGTATGTGAGTTTTATATTTTCATATATCAATTTTTAAATAAAATGAACTGAAAAAAAATCTAAAAATTTTATTTTGTGTTATGTAAAGTGAGAATAATTATGAGACAAAAGAAGTATAAAATTTTGACATATCAAAAGAAATTTTAACATGAACTCAATTTTATATTACTTTGATTTTAAACAAATATACTATTTTTCCACCATTTGTTGTCAAAAAAGTACTATAGCTTAACTAAAACAAGACAAAAGAGACTTTTATTGTGGCACGGAGGAGTATTGACTTTCCAATATTATTCAATTTTTATGGATAGAAACCTATATTATTTTTGTTGAATAATGAAATAATTGTATTACTTGAAAAATAAGGATCAATACAAGAGAGTATACATAGGAGGCAACCCCAAGATATGTGTGATTCCATATAGAAATAGAAGCTAACTAATATGTAAACACTACCATAAATATAATTAGTATTACTATTATTATTGTTTTCTAACATCCCCTCAAGTTGGACGCCGTGGAATGAGAGGAAGCTTGGAGACGAGAGTGGTGTAGTGTGGAGACGGTAGCGCCTTCGTGAGAAGATCGACAAACTGGTCAGCAGAAGGGACATAAGACACCGTCATAGTTTCAGCACTGACTTGTTCCCATACACAGTGACAATCGGTGCCAACATGCTTCATACGCTTATGGAACACATGATTCTTGGCCACAAAACAGGTGTGGATGATGCATTGGTGCATACATTCTAAACCATAGGGGTATTAGTGCTAATTATTTATTTCTCACTTTTTTTTGTTTTTTCCATTTTTTTTCTTTATTTGTTTCATTTATTAATAAAGGGGTTTTTAAAATTATTTTTATAATTTTCTTAAAATTTAAAGTTATTTTTGTTTGAAAAAATTAATATACAATGCATCTGTACGTCTCAAATTTAAAAATTTTGTTTTTTCCAAAAAAAGTAAATTTTTTTAGAGCTTCAAAAAATGAGGAATAAAATAAGAAACAAAATAATAAAAAAATAAAAATGAATATCCTTTCTGGACATCTCAATTCTAAGACTTTTTTAGGTGTGCCCGAAAATTGTTTTTTGTACAAGACTCTTTTTTGCGTATTTTAATTTTTTAATTTCGTTTTTCCATATTTTTATTTTTTATTTTGGTTTTCTTTTTGAAATTTCCAAAAAATTATTCTAAGTAACAAAAAGTGAAAATGTTTAATTTGAGATAGATATAATGTACATTAAATTTTTTATTTTTATTTTTATTTCAAAAACAAAGAATTTTAAAATTTTTAAAACATTATAAAAAATTTAAAAAGAAATTTAAAAAACATATAGGAAAAGGAAAAAGTGATAGATCATATTTTTTAAAAAGGAAAAAATACAAACAATAAACGAAAAGTAAGAAATGACCACGAGTGCCCCTATGGTTTAGACCAGAAAATAATCAAAGAAGGTGTGGGTGCAACATTTTTAACTATGAAGACTTTAGAAATAAATTTTAAAAAACATAATAGGTATTGGTGCCAATTTTCCAAATGACAAGAAGCATCGAGTTATTTGGTGAAGATAAATATCCACGTCCTCTTTAGAAACACATTTCCAAACGTGGCCTAAGGTTAGAGGGGCAGGCTAATAAATGCTCCGCATTTGGTAGGAGCTTTCTATTGCAACACGGGAATGGTGGTGGGACTGGAACAAGTGCACGCGCGCGCGAGTGGGGGGAGGGAGGGAGTAGATTTAACGCGGGTGGAAAAAAGGTGTTTGGGTCTCTGTCTGCGAGTGAATGGCTTTTATTCGCTTCCCTTTTCTCCTCCCCTTTCGTGCCTCTCTCTCTCCTCCCTCCGTTATTTGTGTGGAGAGAGATTGGAGAAAAGAGAGAACGCTACTTTTCTTCAATCTCCATTTTTTCTCTTGTAATCCTTCCGAGAGTGATTTGATTTGATCTTTTGTTTTTGTTAATTCTGTTTTCGAATCTCTGCCGGCGGTGCTGCATTCTGATTGCGATCGGAGCTTGGAGGGTGACCGGCGGCGGTGGAGAATTGGAGGGGATTCCGGCGATACGGCGGTGCTGCTGATGGAGGCATCCACGCGCTCTGTTCCTCGCCGTCGTGATCAATTTCTTCGAAAGACTGGATTTTGAAGCCGCCGGCGGAATTTCAGCTCCCGGGCGCCCGTCACCGAAGGTTTGAGCATGTTCTCTTTAAATTACGGGAGGATCGGAAATGGGTTCCATGATACTGTTCTGTCCGTGCTTTTCTTACTCACTGATGAACGAAAAACATTGCGGTGGGGAAAAAAAAGTTAACTTTGAGTTTTACTGCCTGGATATTTTTGAACAATTTGATTTTCAATGACAAAAAGTTAGTCTATCTCTATATCTATCTCTATCCATCGAATGTAGTCCCTTTCTTTTGAATAATTTGGTTTTCAAAGAAAACTTCCATATAAGCAATAATGGCTCCTAATGTACTAAATATTAAAATCAAGAACTTACACAATTTTCTAGTTTGAGACCAACTCAATGGGAAACGATTAAAGACTTGCCATAACAGGTTGGCCTGTAGTCATCAAGCGTTCTGGCTAAAAAAATCCCTTCTTTTAAAAAAAAGTTTTACAATTTATTATTGGGACATAAGTTTAATCATTCTGTTCCCTTGTTGAATTGAATATCAGCAATGTTCTTCAGTTTTTGGGTTTAAGTTTTTGTTCAGTTCTTGCTTGTAGGAAGGTAAGCGTTTTGGTTATGGAGATGGTAAATGTTTATTACTCTGATATTAAGAAAGTCAGTTTTGAGCACATTACTAAATTTAATTAATTAATGCTACAATTACTACCAGAATTACAGATATGTTAGATGTTACTGTTTCAGATTCACCCTGGCAAATGAATTTGAGATCAATGGAGACAATAGAGTCTGGGCACTATCCTGTACGGGATGGTGAACCAGATTGTTCATATTACATCCGAACTGGTCTGTGTAGATTTGGAGCCTCATGCCGATTTAATCATCCAGCTAATAGGAAATTGGTAAGAGCAATGTTTTATTTCCATATAAGTATAAAAAATATATGGTCTATACGAGAAGGGTACCCACGATAAGTCAATTTTTGTTTGATAAACACATAACTTTGTAATGATTGAGAGGGGCCATACAGACATTGCTCGAAATATATTATTGTATTTTTGTTTATTGTTTCATTATGCATTGGGAATTTATAGACTTAGAAAGTCCATACTGTAGGCAATTGCCACTGCAAGGATGAGAGGAGAGTATCCAGAAAGAGTTGGGCAGCCCGAATGCCAGGTAAGACAGCCAAAATCATGACACATTGTTAAGTAGCATATAATCAGAAAAAATTTGACACAAACCTGAAAACTCAAACCAGCCATCATTGGTTGCAGTTGCCTTAATGTATGTCTATTGGGTGTTCATGACGCTTTTTAAAGTACATGATGAATATGCGGTCAATTTCTCTTATCCATTGAGGAACTCTTTTGCACTTCATCTTCTGGTTGTGTCTAAATGATTTATAAGTAGATAAATTTTCCATGAGAGTTTATGCTGTACAACTTTGTCTATGATGTAAATCATGGATATACAGATATTCTGATGCCAAAAAGTGCATGTGATGTTGCCTCCAAATTGACCACAAACTAGGTTATGTGTTTGTACGTGTTACCAGTGCCTACACATCAATGGGCTTTTTAAAATTTATTACACTTGATTTGCAAGTGAACTAGTTTGAAATTTTGATCAGTACTATTTGAAGACGGGAATTTGCAAGTTTGGAGCCACATGCAAGTTTCATCATCCTAGAGATAAGGCTGGGGTTGCTGGAAGAGTTGCTTTAAATGCCTCGGGGTATCCACTTCGTCCGGTATGGCCTTTTATTTTCTCCTCCATATACATTATGTCTTCAATTGACATAAAGTCTATTTTTTTTATAATGTTAGAATGCGGGTTCTCTCTGTTTTAGTTTTTAAGTAATGGTTAATTTGTCCAAAAAAATTAATGCTGCACGGAAGATGGACTATTTGCAAAAAAATTCATTTGCATTTCAATTTCTCTATTAAAGTATGTCTCAGCATACCCTGTTCGAACTCACAATCTCACTATTTTCTGATGTTTGCCGCTAATCATTAGAACTCCCATACAGTTGATCAAAATCTCAGTTTTTTCTGAATTCACATGTTGAGGGATTTTAAATGAAAGATGATATATCTATTGGTCAATAAGATACCATCATCCTTTTGAAGGATGCCATGTTTTACACAATGTCTTTATAATAGTTCTTTTTTTTCATTCTCCCAGGATGAGACTGAATGCCCCTACTATATGAGAACTGGTCAATGCAAGTTTGGGAGCACTTGTAAATTCCATCATCCTCAACCATCTAATATGATGGTATCTCTTCGTGGTTCTCCTGTTTATCCTCCTGTCCATTCCCCAACTACTCCCAGTCAGATATCATATCCCTTTTCAAGAGCTTCTTTTATTACCAATCCACGATGGCAAGGTCCTTCAAGTTACACTCCGGTGATTGTGCCTCAAGGAGTAGTATCAGTACCAGGATTTGCTTACAGTGTGAGCTTCTATAGTTCTATATCATTGCATTTTTCTAAATAAAGGATCTGTGTGTGCTTTGCTTAAAGCCTTGGTCATTTGCTGATTGAATATGTTTATTTCTGACTTTCTGTTCGTATTGCTCAGACTAAAAAATGGGTATGAGATGCTAACTCCTAACCACATTTAGGAGTAGTTTACAACATTATAAAATAAGGGATAAGAGAGGGACGGACAGCCACAAACACCCGTTACTGTACAATGTCTGGGGATGTGAGGTTGGGGTGACAGGTGGGGTGAGAGTTGGGTGACTTTAGCATTTTCCATACCAAGTACTACCTCCGTCTCCAAGAATTGGTCCCTTGTCCCTTTTCATCAGGGTGCAACTTTTTAATTTAGTGTGGACCAACTATTGAAAATCATCAGTGGTAATTCTTTTGGGTAGCTGTTTACCCACTATTGTGGGATTTTGCCAACACGGCCCACCTATAGTTTTTGTTATCTAGCTACATCCTAAGTTCATTTGTTGGTACACTTTTTCATTCTATTCAAAAACCCATCAAGTATGATGAAAACTTGTTTCTTTTGTTCAAATAGTACCCTTTTGGCACGAAATTTTGTTTTCAAATTGGGCTCTCTCTCTCTCTCTCTCAGGATGGAGGGGGTAGTATGCTTATTGGATACCAAATCAAACAACTGGGCATAATTTGATAGATATGGACATTGGCTATATAGAGAAGTGAAAGAAAATAGGACCGTACTGGTTTGAAAAAGGGTGGAGAAAATCCTTCAATGCGCACAAATGTTCTTTCCGGGATATTTACACTATGTTTGGTTCAAGGAATTTGAAAGGAAAAGAAAAGAAAATGGTTTTCCCTCAGTTTCCTCGCCAAGATGGGAGGAATTTGGTTTTCCCTCCTCTTAGTACATTTTGCTTTCTCATTTTCTTTTCCTTCCACTTTTCTTTTCTTTTTCTCTCTAACCAAACAAGAAAAATGTTTTCCTTCTCATTTTCTTTTCCTTTCTATCTCAAATTCCTTGAACCAAACATAGCGTTAATGTTATGGATTTTGGTGAATTTTATTGGCTGACATAAATTTGTTTAAAGCTTGTTACTTTGACTTGAAATAAATCAAACCAATCTAAACATACCCATCATGCCTCCCACAGAAGAATCTTGGAGGTTAATATGTACTGACCTTACCTCTACCGCTTAGGGAAAAGTAGGATGGTTTTGGAGTATTATTTTTTTGAAGATTTAGGTATTTTTTTTAGCAGTAAAAGAGACATGTAAAGGTGAAAACTTTAGTGTCAACAGTGCGGCTGTGTGGGTTGGGCAGGAAAAAGCAGAATTACTTTAGACTTTAACTGGATTCATGAAAACATTACTGGAACATTCTAGGCTCTGATACTTATTTAGGACCTATTTTCAGGGACAACTTGGTTCAGTTTCATCCACAGAGAGCCAACAAGTGACAGCAGGAAGCAGTCAGGGTTATGAGTTGTCTCGTTCCAGTGAGGTAGCTACCATGGGATCTCATGGGATGAATCCTTCTTATCGTGGTGGTACATTACCTATGGGATATTATACATTGCAGCAGAGAGAGAGTGTCTTCCCTGAACGACCCGGTCAACCAGAATGCCAATTTTACATGAAGACAGGAGACTGTAAGTTTGGTGCTGTTTGTAAATTCCATCATCCAAAGGAAAGACTCATTCCTCCTCCCAATTCTTTACTGAGTCCAATTGGGCTTCCTTTACGCACAGTGAGTTCTTTATTCTTGTTTCTGCGGTTTCTTTGTTAAAATTTTTTGTGGCTAGATTCCGTTGACACCCATTTTGTGTGTCAACCGATGACACCGGCTTGAATTGAAGCATCTATGGTGCTCCGTTCGTAAAATTGATGACTCCTAGCCCCTTACCCCCCGTCAAACCCCCCCACCCCGGCCTGGTCCGAGCCCACCACCCCACCCCTTCAATTTCATGCCCAAAATTTTGTTTACTTTGGGGTCAAAACATTTGAACCCAAAGTCAACAAAATTTTGGGGGATGAAAATGAAGGGGTTGGGTGGTGGGTTCGGGCCGGAGTAGGGGGGTTGACGGGAGATTAGGGGCTAGGAATCATCAATTTTACGAACGGAGCTACATAGGTGCCCCAAAGCTTCAGTGGCACTGTAGTGTCAACCGGGGCAAGTGTCAACGGGCCCCATCCGTTTTTTGTTCAAACTATAAAAAAATCACATTGATTTCTTTATATCGGTGATTGTAGGGAGAACCTTTATGTACATTCTATTCCCGTTATGGGATCTGCAAGTTTGGCCCAAGTTGCAAGTTTGATCACCCCATGGGAGTTTTCGCGTATAGTCTCTCCCCATCATCATCTGCAACTAACGCTCCTCCTTCTTTCCGGCATTTCTTGGGTTCCCCCTCATCAGGAACCGGTGCCTTGGCTCTATCCTCAGAAATGCTTGCTGACGCAAGCTCCACAAAGCCCAGGTGACTGTCATTCTCAAAAATGTCACTTGGAGGGTAATGATGACATTGGTCACAGAAGGATGATTTTCCTCCGGGTTATGCCAATCAGTATCTATGCATTTAAACATTCCTTAGAATTAATAACAGTTTGCCTGTAAATTCATTTCCACTGTTGGAGATGTACAGAACTCTACTAGTTAATAATGCATTTGAATGATGTTGCTGTTGACTCTAAGGTTCCCTTTGGTGCCTGCCCTTAATAAATCTCTGCATATGTTATTGCTCTTGTATTGGGTTGTCCTTTTGATACATGGCTTATAAGATCATGCCCCCGTTTGGCAACAGCTTCAGTGTTTAGCTTCTTCAAAGGGAATCTGCATCATTAACAAATAATCCAAAATGGTATCTGAAAGCGTTGTTCCCAAACGAGGTCTTTGTTTTGTTTTCTTTTCTTTCATCTTTTGGAAGGTAGATATCTCTTTGCAGGACTAATCGGGCGAGTGGTTCGGGTGATTAATGCTGTCAAAAGAGAAGATTGGACTCTGATTCCATGTTTATGGGGACACTGAAGATTCTGCAGTCTAGGAGTCTCACTGCTGCAAAAGATCAAATGGCCTAATTGTGCATAGGTAATTTTAATGTTGAAATTTGCTAGTCTTATTGGCTTTGTTGGTAGTCTATGTTTGGTAGCAACAAAACATTAATGCTGAAATTTGCTAGTCTTAACAAGACTTGTGGTTTTGACTTCAACTCCTCAAGGTACTCTTGTTTTCTTAAAATGGTTATAAAATATGCTCACAGAGTGCTTTTCTCAACACTTCTTTGGCATTAGAGCTTGTTTTCTTCAAATTAATTTTATTACTTATAGTTATTGAAATCGGATCATATCAGATCAAACAGCTTTAAATATAAATACAATCTGACCAGATCAGACCTTAATATAACATCTATTCAGATAAGATGAAGAGAAGAGGCTCTTATTCGTATTCTTGTCTAGTTACATGACTCCATTATTCCAATACCAATTTCTAGTCAATTTCATATAGCTTTATACTCCTATTGTCCCAAAAAGTTACTCAGTTTGACATGTTAAAATTATAAAGTGTATGTTTGAAATTTGTTTAGCTGAGATAGAAATCTTGTTAGCCACATATGGAGTGTTTATTACCCCATCGTCCCGTTAAAATATACTCCGTATTTTTTTTCATTTTTTTGTTGGTTCCTAAAGAAGCTTTGCTTTTATTATATTGTATTTGGTTCAAAGAATTTGGTAGGAAATGAAAAAATAATAATAGTTTTTCTAATTTTTTTCACCAAAATATAAATTATTAGGTCCTTTACTATATTTTGTCTTCTCATTTTCTTTTCATTGTAATTTTCTTTTCTTACCTAATTAAACATTAAAAAATAATTTTCTTCTCAATTTTCTTTTCTTTTTTTTTTCCAAATTCTTTGAACTAGACATAGGGAAAGGAGTGTACTCCATATTATTTTCAACCTATTTTCCGGTTGAGTTTAATATTTTTCCAATTAAGCTTAATTACCAACGGAGTACTTTCTACAGGTCCCCCACTCTACAAACAATTTGGTGTCTTTCTACTTGATGACAAACTTCAATAGTTGCCACCTGCTACCAAATTTTTCGTGGCCGTTTTTTTCTTCTTTAATGGCCTGCTTAAGAACTTTAATTCGAATTTTAAGTTTAGTTTTGACCCAAATTTAATGTAGGTGAATTTAAAATGATTGAATTTCTAACAAAGTTCAATTATAACTTGATACAATCTCTCCTTGTAATTTAAATTCGAATAAATGTTTTACTCCGGTAATTTCTAAATGCTACCTTGGTCAAAATTGTTCATAAGTGGTTTTTTATTTAGAAGTCAGTTGAGGACGTATTTCTATGTACTTATAAATTGCTTATAAGATAGATAAAATAAGTAAGTCTTAGCTACTTATTTTTAAGCCGATTTTTTTTTGTTTCTCTGTTTTGACTAGATTATTTACAAAATTGTCCATCACCATTTATGAATTTTCAAATGACTTATCTATCATTTACTCCCTCCGTCCCAAATTATTTACCACATTTGTATTCCCAAATTATTTACCACATTTCCATCATCTCCGATGGAGCCAAAATTTCACCATTTTTTGGCTTTGGGGTGTGATGGAATAAATCAAAATGGATCTCTAAACTATCCGTGCTTCTTTAATTAATGAAGTAACAGTTAGTCAAGCAATGCAATTTTCGACGTTGAGCCGGGGGTCTCTTTGGAAACAGCCTCTCTACTTTCAAGTAGGAGCAAGGTCTGCGTACACACACCCTCCCCAGACCCTACTCTTGTGGGATTTAACTGGGTTGTTGTTGTTGTTGTTGTTGTTGTTGTATTCCCGAGGTAAAATATCAAGTTTTTTCAATTTATTTTATTTACATATTGGTATAGAAATAAAAAATAAAATTTACATATAAAAAAACTACATGAAAAGTTCTTCGAAATAAGAGGTGTCAAAAATATTTCATTTTATCAAATAACCAATGAAAACGTCAAAATAAACAAAAGTTCCTACGACTGTTGAAAAAGCAAACATTGTGAATATTTAGGGACCGAGGGAGTACATCATTTTATTTCCACGAAAAAATATTTAACTTATAAACCGCTTAAAGTTATAAAAAAAATATTTATCAATAATAAGCCAATAAGCAATAGCACTAGAAAAACACTCATTATTTCAGAAGTATCTTAAACTTTTTTATATGGTTAGGGGGATAGAAACTAATATCAATATCTGTGAATATTGGATAGACATTTACCGATACGGAACAATATCAATATCTGTGAATATTTATAATATTTATAAAAAAAGTGGGGGTCAAAATGGGGTTATAAATATAGAGTCAAAATAATTTTATTTTGCAGACTGAACGGTAGACATGACACCTTAACCTAGGGTTTTTTTTTGTTTGACGGGAAGTTTTGCAAGTTTTGCAGACTGAACGGTAGACATAACCTAGGATATCCTTTTTATTGGATAGACATTTACCGATACGGAACAATATCAATATCTGTGAATATTTATAATATTTATAAAAAAAGTGGGGGTCAAAAATGGGGTTATAAATATAGAGTCAAAATAATTTTTTTCAAAATTTATAACTATCCAAATTTTACCCTTGTTCAAAAGTAGGCTTTTCCCTTACTCATTTTGGTATCAGTTTTCTTGACATTGGAAACTAAGGATAAGTAGTGGATAACCTATAACTTGGGCTTCAATTAGTACTTCTAAGTTCCATGTGTTGTTCAAAAAATTCATAACTTTTTAAAATAAAGTTATATTTTTTTAAATTTAAAGTTGTATTCAAAACAAATTTTAAGTATCACTTCTAAGAAGTACTTTTAAAGTGAATAGTGTTGTCCAATTTAGTTTGACCCAAATTCAAACCCAAGAAGATGAGAATCATGAGAGTGAGACCCCTCAAAACCCCCTCTATAATCAAACTACTTGTTCACACACTTGAATCTTGATCAATTGAATGCCATTAAAAACAGCCCCCAAGTCTCCAACTGCACCCCACACCCACCTTATACCCATTTAAAAAAAAAATCCAACTTTCTAACAAAAAAAGAATTAAATATTTTTTTCTTATTAAACTTAAATCATGTATTCTCCTTTTTATATAACCAAAATATATATATATATATTTTCGTTTTTATAATAATTTTCTTAAATTTTATTAAAAATCAAACACACAAGATTTTTTTATGAAAAGGATTATGTGACATAAAAATGGCAACTTTGCAACCACTTTATTAAAATAAAAAAAATAGTCCCCATTTCCGTACTCACATTCCCAAGATTTGTTGGCTTAAAGGACAAACAAACACACCGCAGAACTGAAAAAAAAAGAAAGAGGAAAAGGAAGCAAAAATGTCTCCTACAAATCCCAGTAGGGTTCCCTCCTTCTTCTTCTTCTTCTTCCTCTTCCTTCTTCTCATTCCGCCATTCATTACCTCCCACGAAACCACACCGTTCCAGGTGAGCCAACTCGCCGCAGATCCGACCGATTTCTGCCGATTCTGCTTCTGACATTTTGTTTGCTTTTGTTTTTCCTTCAGGCGAATGCGTCTGCGGCAGAGGCGGAGCGCGAGGAGCTGGTGCCGCTGATCGGGAAGGCGGAGACGGCGGTGGAGCTGAACGAGACGCGGCGGAAGCTGAACAGCTTCCGGATTTGCGCGCTGTGCACCTGCTGCGCCGCCGGGAAGGGCTACTGCTTGCCGTCCCCCTGCTGCTATGCCATCAATTGCAACATACCAAACAGGCCCTTCGGTTTCTGCTCCTTCACTCCCAAGACCTGTAATTGCCTTGGCTGCCATCTCTAATTACGTTCCATGTTTTTTTATTTAAATTGTTTTTTTAAATTAATATTATTTCTCCCTGCTTAATTTAGTTCAAAAAAAATGAAATTAATGTAGTTTGTAGGAATATCTTAAGGAATTTTTTTGGCTTGCAAAAATGTGTACTTTAATCTGCGATATGGGGTAAATTTGATAGTGCACTAGGACTATTACTCTTCACATGGTAAATTTATGGTTCCTTGGCCCACTCTTTTTTTCATGGATTGGCTATAGGTATTGTAGCCCATCGACGAATGAAGGGAAGAACCTAAAAGGTTTAGGAGAGAGTTAGGTGACAAGAATAGTTAATTTTTTGAACAGAAGACTTTAGAAGTCCCGATTAGAGCTTGTGTTATAGGATGACATTGATTTCTAATGTCAAAGGAACCAAGCTGTAAGTTAATAAGGGTAATATTAAAAAATACTTCTGAACAAGGGTAAAATTTGGATCGTTATAGAATTACACTGTTCTCTCGGACGCCAAAATAAGTTTTACCTCTTGAATCCCTCGCACCTTGTTCCACAACTACGAGGGGTTGTTTAAGGGTATGCGCCACTTGGGGCGCAACAAAGTAGCGTAGGATTTTGGTGTTATAATATGACATTCAAAATTGTCGTTGTGATAGCTTAAAGAATTTGAATCAGGCCCGCCCATAAGCAAGTGCATTAGGTTCACTTGCACAGGGCCTCCAAAATATAAGGGCCCATTTTTAATTTTAACTTTAGCCCAATACTAGATTTGTTTTATTACTCAAGGCCATTAAGTAATACTCCGTAACAAAGAAGTACTCCGTTTTCAGTTTTCCGCCTCATCGGTTCCTCCGTGGCTCTCCCTCTTTCATTTTTCCGCCTCATCAGTGTTAAACATCTAGTGTGACTCCTCAATTCCTTCTTCTCTGGAGTGGTGAGTTCTTGATTTTTATGATTTAATGTTTTTTCTATTTCAATTTATTTTTTTCAATGGCACTTCTCAATCGCATGAAGTACACTTTTAAATTTTTATTCTTTTTTTTGTCAATGATCAACCATTAATTACTTCAATTGGTTTTCCTTACAACTCTTTTTAATCTATATTGATCTGTTTCATTGTTTTACAGTTTCTAAAAATTTATTTTTGAAAGAATATGTTTTCCTTGAAATGAACAAAGAAAAAAGATAAGAAACTACAATTTCAATTTTAAATTACTCGGTATTTTTTTAGGAGTACACTATTTTTATGCATTAAAAACTATTTTTTTTTGCCTTTTTTTAGTTTTTACTTTGTAGACATTACAGTTTCATTTGTAAACAGAAATGTTAGTACATCTTGTTCATTTTGGCTAATGATATGTTAACAATATATTAAGTTTATGAATTTTGTAAATTCTTTGTTTGTTAGCATTTCTAATTTGTAAATGGGTTTGAACTTAAAGCCAAATCAAAATATCTCAATTGTGTTTTTTTGCACCAATATTTTAATTTAGCATTGTTTGAAAACTTATCTAAGTGTGTGAAATTGATTTGATAGGTGATTTTTGCATCGTAAATGATTCAATCTTTCGTTGAATTGCTTCTTTTTATCTCAAGGCCATAAGTTACTCAGTTGTACAGGGCCTTCTAAAATGATTGGGCGGGCCTGATTTGAATTTACACTCTTCATATTTTCTACCTTTGTCAGCTACGCAACACTCCACGAACAAAATTTTCCAAAGTTTGGAGGGTTTGAGGGGAGAGAGGCCCACACACGGTTTGGTGTAAACGTATTTAATAACTCCATCTCCATATGTTGGACTATTGTAAAGGGTGGGAAAGGGACTTGCTTATCTTGACTAGCTAGTCCGCAATAAATGGATTAAATTATGCCGGGTCGGGTTGAATCTCTTGGGGAGAATGAAAGTATGAAACTCATTAGGCCCATTCACAACATCTTTTTTTAATATAAACTTAACATCTTTTTTTAATTTTAATTTGCTTATTTATTTATTTATTTTTTCAATCTCAAATGCTATAGTTTCATATTAATATCTATATTTGAATATGTGTATGTATTTTCTCAGAGTATAAAAATATGTAGCTCCTCCGTTTCATTTTTTTGTTTTACGGTTTATAAATTTTGGTCAAAATTATTTTTAGTTTAATGCACAATTGAAAAATAAAATTTATATTTAACAAACTAAAAAAATCTATAATACAAGTGATGGAAAGATTATGTTATTGCAGCTGAGTTCTTTTGACAACAAGAGTTGTTGTCATAATCTGACAATTGCACCTACGGTACTCTGATAAAAAATTGATGGTTTCTATCTCATAACTCTCACGTGAAATTTGATCAAAATTTATAATTTTGTACTAAGAAAAGTTAAAGATATAGGAGTATAATAAATTTGAACGAAAATATTCAGTTATATGTATGTTGTGATGTCTCTCTTGTGTTTCTATTTTCTACATTACCTCAACTTGTGTTTCTATTTTTTTCATAGATAGACATATTTAGACAGCAATAAATAGAAAAGGGTTGCGGTCAATGTAGTCCACAAGTGACCCAACAATAATAGAGGAGGTAGGTTAAGGCAATGAAGTCAAATGCTTTCTCCACCCCAAAAAAAAACATTCTTTATAGAGTAAATTCCATAAAAGGTCCCCAGTTATAGGTCGTTTTACATATTTAGTCCATACATATCAAATATTACTAATTTGGTCCCCAATTATTATATTTATTTCTACGAATGGTCCTTTGTTAACATTTTCATTAAAACGTGGATAAAATTATAAATTCACACTCCTTTATCTCCTCAATTAAGCATTCTCCTCCCTTGTACTCCTTTCTCAAACCCGTCGCTGCGTTTCTAGCTTTGAATCCTAAACCAAAATCATCACTCTTCTCTCAATTGTTTATCTAACTGGAGGAACGATCATTTAAATTTTGGGTTTAAGAGCTTCAAACTCAGCGACGAGTTTGAGAAAGAGTATGGGAAGATGAAGAAAGCTTAATTGAGGAGAGAGAAGTATGAATATACAATTTTATCCACGTTCTTAACGGAAATGTTAACAAAGGACCATTCGTGGAAATAAATATAATAATTGGGGACTAAATTAGTAATATTTGATATGTAAGGACTAAATATGTAAAACGACCTATAACTGGGGACCTTTTATATAATTTACTCTTCTTTATAACTTGATTTTTTAGTCTAATTTTATAAACTGTGATGGCAAATTACAAAAATGTATATGCAATTTAATAAAGTTTGATTAATTTTAAAATGTAATTTTAATATAACATATTTTTATTACAGAGTATGTATTTATTAAAATGATACAGAGTGCTCCCTGTGTCCTAAAATTAACTTCTCAATTTAACTTTCGTGATCAAATTTTTTGAACTTTGACTGCATATTATAAAAAAACACATTGAACTTTCTTATAAATTTAATACCAATAGATTCATTTTGAAATATATTATTTTTATAATATATTTTAATACATAAATAGAGATATTAATGATCAAAATGTTGCATTTGAGATCGTGAAAAGTCAAATGTAAAAATAATATTAAGACGAAGGGAGTATTTATTAACGGTCGAAATGTGTGGTAATTTAACCAAAAAATTAAATTATAATGAATTATTTGTGACAAAGTAGTCATCAGTGGTGAATATGCCTTCTCTCTTTTTTGTGTGTTAAGAACTGTTAGACATGTTTAGCTAACGTTTTAATTCATGTTATAAGAACTATAGAAACCAGTCTATACACATTTCAATTTTTACTCTCAATTTCAGCTTTTAGACTTCTAAATTTAGTTCAAATAGAGCTACATCGAGTTTTCAAACTCCATATTTCAAAATTCATATTAATTGCCAAACTCGAGAATTAAATTTATAAAATTAAGGCATAAAAAAGAAGAAGAAATCACACTAAATAGAATTAAAACATAGAGAAAGTACCAAAATATGGTAATGTGACACTGTATATATACATTTTACGTAATTTTATATACATGGTCATGATTGATAATGTAAATACATTTTAACTCTTATTTCGAGAATAAAAATATGAAACTCATATTTTATTATATTTTCAATGTTTTATTCCTATTTTAGTCTTTTTCCCAGAAAAGAGATTAATTTTCAACCATAAATTCATTCTTAACAATGCAATATATGGATGGCCATTGTCTTGGGATAGCAACGTTCAACAATCCATGTGCTCTCACAAAGGACAACAGGTGGGAATCTCTTTCATTTCTTGTGCATCTTTTAAAAAACTTTTATGGTATGTCTGGGAATATGGATTTGGATTCAAATTTGAATTTGACTCAAATTTCATGTTTGGGAAACTTAAAAATTTTGAATTTGGATTTGAGTCAAATTCTTCTCATTCATAACAAAGCTTAATTTAAAATCCATGCACCTCCCCTTATCATTTGAAATTTAAGATTTCAAATTTTGGTATTGAAATGCATGAATTGAAATGAAATGTTAGTTGCCAAACACTATCTTATTTCATTTTAAATTTTTAAAATATCCCTAAAACAACTTCTATCGGTAATAAGTGAGAAATGAGATAAATTTTAGACATTATATATATATATATATATATATATATATATATATATATATATATATATATATATATATATATATATATATATATATATATGGGTTGTTGTTTTGTATGATGCACAAAAATAAAACAAGAGATTTTGGAAGGGAAAAAGTAGATAATTATTTATTTAAATAAGTTATATCTTCTGTTTTTTGATCCTCTATATAAACAACAAATCAATTTTGTTTATAGAAATTTCACTTAATTTTATAACTAATTCAATTAAAAGCTATGAGCAGACCAAAATAGTGTATCTCATTTGTACACCAGAGAAACATAGACACTGCATCTGTGGATCACATACACTATGTGTGTGTGTGTCTGAGTTGCTCTGATGTAAAAATTGTGTACACCATGTTAGTGTATTCTAGCACGACCCTTAATGATATTGTTATATATTTCTTCCATTCCCTTATAACAAAGTATTGTGACTCTTGGAGTCTAAAATGGATTCCAGAAAGGCAGAAACACTTTGGCTTATAAATTGTGACTTTTGAAGACTAAAATGCGTTCTAGAAATACTTTAAGCAAAGCTAAAAGGGCAATTTACCTAAACAGGACTAAAACATAAATGATTTTCTCAATATAGAACCACATGTTTTTATTTCCCAATATAGGACCATTACTCATTATCTATTAGTCATTATTCAACTAAATGTTCAGCATCACTTGGACATTATTTTTGTCACTAGTCATTATTAAGTGCTATTTAGAGAATAAAAAAGTTTAAGTCTTACATTGGGAAATGACTTTTGTTTTAGTCCTATTCAATGCAAATTTCACAAACTAAAACTATTTACTTTCTATTTCTACTTAAAATTTTTACTTTTTTTATCAACCTTTCACACTACCAAATATTCTCTTAGTAATATTGAATCCCTAACAATAATTAAAATTGATATACGAGGATAATTAATAATTGTTGTGAACTCGATACTTTATTCATCATATACGGGGGTATTTATATATACACGGGAAGAGGTATAGTCTAGGTCAATAAGGAAACAATATATTCTAAATAGAATGAGAAATATATCTGCCATATTTAACACTCCCCCTCAGATATATCATCATGCGTTATACACCAACAACATTATGCTACTGGATAATGTTGGCTAGGTTCTTCAGGACCTATATTAACTGATACTGCAGGATCAGTTATGCTGCCTCATTAAAAACCTTACTAAGAAAACCCAATGGGACAAAACTTAGTTAAGGGAAAAATAGTACAGCGTGTATAATATTTTCCCTAAAATTAAACTCCCCCTCAAACTAATTTATCTCTTTCAGTCTGCGAAGTCCAATCTTCTTTATGAGTTGCTCGAAACTGTGTCTTGGTAGAGATTTGGTGAATAAGTCTGCCAAATTTTCGCTTGATTTAACTTGAAGAACATTGATCTCTCCTTCTTTCTGCAGATCAGATGTTGAGAAAAACTTTGGTGAGATGTGTTTCGTTCTGTCTCCCTTGATATAACCTTCCTTGATCTGAGCTATGCATGCTGCATTGTCTTCATATATAATTGTAGGATTCTTCTTGATTTCTTCCAAACCGCATGCTCCTTGTATATGATCAATCATCGATCTCAACCAAACGCACTCTCGACCAGCTTCATAAAGTGCTACCAATTCAGCTTGATTTGATGATGTTGCTGTTAGAGTTTGCTTTGTTGACTTCCAGGAAAT